TCTTGCCCACCAGTGCCCGGTGGGGCACAGAAAAAATAGCCGTGTGATGTGTGTTTGGGTTTTACCGTCTGTTGTTCGGCCATAACGTCTGACGTTTCGCTCCATGTGGTCGTGGTGGTGTTGGTGGTGGGGATGGCCGTGGGGGGGGGGGGGGGCGCAGTAACTTCTTTAAGGAACTGAGTTTCTGACAACGGCGTACGGTACGATCCGAGAAACACATCACAGTGCCGTACAGAGCAATAACGAAAAACTGCGCAGCAGCAGCAACAGCAACTAAAATTAGTGATCTGTTCTGGACAAAGAGTCTCTCCGTCAAGAAATTATGGGGCCGGATCAGGGGCCAACCTGCGTTCTTTGATCGAGATAATTGCAAGAGAATGACGGACAAAATCGCCGCTGACAGTCTGCGTGGAACGGTGGCATTTGGCGACGTCTGTGATCTCCCGTGTGACAGTGATCTCACGGCGGCGCAGAGCAGCTCGGGGTATTCCTATTTCGGTGGCTATCTTGACGTGTAATATAAAACAGGGCCACGGCTATTGTGTGCGGTGGAATTTCTGTGGGAAGACAAGGAGGCTCTTCTCAAAGTGTCTCTCCCGACGAGGTGCCCTTCGAGCGGTTCTAAACTGTTTACCGGCGGATGGGAGATTCGGCGTGCTTGTAGAGCCGCGAGAACACGACAGCAGGACGTCGTGGAAGGGGCCGCGTACCTCGTGTCCTGCGAGAAGTCTGCGCTTCTGGCGCTGACCACATCGATGGGGCATGGTGGGGTCATCGCGCAGCAAGGAAAGCGACTTGAAAACGGCAAAGTTAACGAGCCGGACGATAGTATATTTAGTATACTGATGATACTGATGTAGTTTATATTTTAGTTTTTTTACATGGTGGATTAGTTGCTGCAGTTCCATACTATTAACATTTCTTCCCTTTATTAATGCTAATCCTACTTCCTCCCTTTGATGCTGCTAATCCTGCATAATGCACGGGCATAATATAACTTTGAAACCCCCCGCCCACCTCCTACGCATTCCACAAGTAGTACTAATCACATATCTGCATTTCCCATAAATATGCTAAATTCCTCTTGATATGCAAATTATTTTGTCAAGGCGCTCTTCCCCCTCCAACCCAGCTTAAATATACGCTGCCAAGCCTGGTGGTGTTTCATTCAGACGCTGTCTTTCCGACAGACCTGTTCTTCACCTGAGGACAGCTGCTTGCGTTGTGGCCGAAACGTCGTGAGAATTGTATTTTATTATGTTCAATTTTTATTATTTTATTATTTCCCTTCTACGTGATGACTTTACCGAAAGAAGCAAGAAGATGAGCCGAACGATGTACGTCTCCTTCACATATCCGTCTCTTCACGTGAACAAAATAAAGAATCGCTTTTACACAGCCAAACGTATGCACGGCCTCCGTGGAGTCCATAATTTCAGCAGCCATTGATCCAAGACGCACAAACTCGCCCGGTTTCGACATCGTCAGAGTCGGGCTCACGGGTTTGAACCCCGCGAATGCACGGTCGGGAGAGCCGCGGACTTTCTTGGAAATAACGAAACGGCCTGTACATTTATGCACAAGTGGTGCTCGGTTTACGAGCTCCCCCGAACGGTGCGTTCTACTCGCGGAGTGCATCAAGGCCGCATAAATTGTGCCTTCATGGCTCTCGAGGCGTCTGCAAGGGTGTTTGGAGGGAGGAGGAGGACGGGGGGTGATGTCGCGGTTGGGGCAACGGGAGGGAGACATTTCTAGCACGCGTACATTGTCGTGGTTTGGTGTTTTCGCCAAGTCGAAGGAGGGGAGAGGGCGTTTTTATTCTGCTAACAAGGCCTTTCTTGCGCTTTGCATCTTAATCGGCGGTGGCGGCGAGCGGGCGTGAATCAGGTTTTTTCGTGCCACGTTTTTATTTTGTTTGGCCAGGTGAGAACTCGCGAGACCAGGATGAGTTTCATTTGCAAGCGTGACCCTGGGGGGGGGGGGGCATTTGGTGTGCGACGATTACTGCTGCTGTGTTTGTGTGTGTGTGTAACCCCAATTGAGTGATTGTTGTCAGACGGTCACAATGACTGGTGACCTGCCAACAGAGAGCAAAGCACGACCGGTTGTAACGAGGCAATCACCGAGCACGAATTAACATCGCAGGCTCAGGTCATTTTAGTTTCGTGATTTTGTGCGAGACTGCTGTGCAAGTCAAGAAGAGCACAAATGGCAATAATCTACACTGTCCATGTACAGTGAGAACAAAAGTAATTGATCCCCTGCTGATTTTTTGTACGTTTGCCCACTGACAAAGAAATGATCAGTCTATAAGTTTAATGGTAGGTTTATTTGAACAGTGAGAGACAGAATAACAACAACAAAATCCAGAAAAACGCATGTCAAAAATGTTATAAATTGATTTGCATTTTAATTTGATTGATTGATTGCTTCTGTGAACAGGTGTATTTTATACAGGTAACAAGTTGAGATTAGGAACACTCCCTTTAAGAGTGTGCTCCTAATCTCAGCTCGTTACCTGTATAAAAGACACCTGGGAGCCAGAAATCTTTCTGATTGAGAGGGGGTCAAATACTTATTTCCCTCATTAAAATGCAAATCAATTTATAACATTTTTGACATGCGTTTTTCTGGATTTTGTTGTTGTTATTCTGTCTCTCACTGTTCAAATAAACCTACCATTACAATTATAGACTGATCATTTCTTTGTCAGTGGGCAAACGTACAAAATCAGCAGGGGATCAAATACTTTTTTCCCTCACTGTATATGTACGGATGCACGTTGAACTTCTTTCGTGCTAATCGGAGTCGCGGCATAAAAGCTTTACCGAGTTCACAGATTTTCCAAGCCGGTACATCGTGGGCGATGTGACGCACACCTTCTCTCGTCGACTAGACCACAGAGAGAATGACCGCATGAGATCCGCAGACTCGGACTCGACTGAAATTCCATGGGATGTCGCCGACTAAATTTTTTTTTTACTCCTACGCAACTTGGAGACCGAGTGTGTAGTGCCCTATAACGCCGTTCCTTACGTAAGTCCGTAATCTGTTGGCCTAAGGCGAGGAAAACTTGTGTCTGCTGTTTACTTCGCGTCACACCGCAGCTTTTTGTGCCAATATCTCAATCCGACCGGAACGGCGGTAATCCCACTGAACTGTTTCCTAACCGTCGAATCAATCCGGCTGGGTGGAGCAAGTGGTCAGAGTGGGCGACCCGCTCACTCGCTCGCTCGCTCACGGTCGGGGTTCTAGATTTGAAGCTTTCGTGACTGCAAGGATTAATACTCTTAGGTTCTTTCGGTAAAGTCACGTAGGTGAAAAAAAGAATAATAAAAGAAAATAATAATGAATGAAAATAACTAAATTAAATCACGACATTACTCACATACATACACACACTCACATACATACTCACACACACACATACTCACATACATACTCACACACACATACTCACATACATACTCACATATACACACACTCACATACATACTCACACACACTCACATACATACTCACATATACACACACTCACATACACACTCACATACATACACACATACTCACATACATACTCACATACACACGCACTCACATACATACTCACATACACACACACTCACATACACACTCACATACATACACACATACTCACATACATACTCACATACACACGCACTCACACACACTCACATACACACACACTCACATACACACTCACATACACACACACTCACATACATACTCACACACACTCACATGAGCGATTGGCGAGGCAGGCAATCGTGCAACTGTTTCGTTTTTTTTGGAACGCCGACTGCATCTCACCCGCCAGATTAACCACGCTGCTGGCAGGCGGCAGCAGCAGCAGCTCGCTGTCGCAGAGAGAACCGGGCGACTGTTTCATTCTTCGTCCGCAGGCGGCCGCACCCCAGCCAGACCCCGGTGTTCCGTCCAAAAAAAGTGGCTCGCCGAGTGGGTCTGTGGCACCGCGCCGTGGGTCTGTGCCACTGCTCAGTGGGTCTGTGCCACTGCTCAGTGGGTCTGTGCCATCGCCCCGTGGGTCTGTGCCATCGCCCCGTGGGTCTGTGCCACTGCTCAGTGGGTCTGTGCCATCGCCCCGTGGGTCTGTATCACTGCTCAGTGGGTCTGTGCCATCGCCCCGTGGGTCTGTGTCACTGCTCAGTGGGTCTGTGCCATCGCCCCGTGGGTCTGTGCCACAGCTCAGTGGGTCTGTGCCACTGCTCAGTGGGTCTGTGCCATCGCCCCGTGGGTCTGTGCCACTGCTCAGTGGGTCTGTGCCACTGCTCAGTGGGTCTGTGGCACCGCGCCGTGGGTTTGTGCCATCGCTACCTCCAGACTGGCACCGGTGATGGGGCCTGGCGTTGTGCCATGAGATTTGCGAGTCGGGTTACCACCTGTCCCGGTTTTCCATAAATTGGCTTTTTATTTTTTGCAGGAGCTGTCCGGGAATATCAGCAGTGAATCCTAATACTGTGATATTGTTATTATTTGTATTATTTTATGTTATTTTTTTTTATCTACGTGGCTTCACCGAAAGACCCAAGCAATATGAATCCCAATACAGTGCAAGTCCTGGTGTTTGTCAGTTGCGTAATAATAATAATACACCACTCGAATCAGGACGATGCATTTACAAGAAGTTATCTCATTTTCGGTCTCTGCGGGAGATGTTCCCCGCCCCCATGGTATGCCCCAGATTTTGTACCTCCGGGTTGGCAACCCACAGGCGGTGGTGGGGCAATTTTAAGAAACGTTGCATCACTCTTAAATTTCGATTTAAAGCTTTCGTGACTGCAGGGATTCATCTTCTTGGTTCTTTCGGTAAAGTCACGTAGAATGGAAATAATAAAATAAAAAAAATAAAACATAATAAAATAATTCTCACGACGTTTCGGCCACAACGCAAGCAGCCGTCCTCAGGTGAAGAACAGGTCTGTCGAGGAGACAGAGTCTGAATGACAGGGTTTGCATCACTCTGTCGGCTACCGCGCTGGGAGATGTGGAATCGAACCGGTGACCTTAGGATCGCAAGCAATGGGGGAGCCAGAATTTTCAGGTAAGGGGGGCCACCCCTCCAGCTATGAAAAATGATAGAGGATTTGTTAGTAAGTAAGGACTTGTCCCTTGCTTTTTATTCGACGCGTGTGCGGCGATGGCGCAGTCATCGATTGAGGGTCGAATTCGAACCGTGTTGTGTGATCGGCATCGTTGAAGGTGTTTGCCTTCAGGGAAGTCGTGTACTGTATACGCAACTGCGCACAATTCTGTGAGTCACTTATAACCGCTTTGCCGTTACTTATTGCCAATTATTGACCCAGACTATGGTCCTATCGTCTCATAGAGTCCCTGGCACGTAATAATATGCTACACAGTGGCAGTGGGGGTCGCAAAATGCCGATTTATTACTAATAAACCTAATGATCCGTTCGAAATTAGAGATTTCGATCGGATCATTGGAGGGGGGGGGGGGCACGTGTCCACCCCCTCCACTGGCTCCGTCAGTGAGTGCAAGTCCAGCATTTGTGCTCGGCTTTCGGGTCGTGCGAAAAACAAATATAGGTTACCAGCGCGAGCATGATGTGAACATTGACACCGTGTTCAGGCACGCTGCCGCTGCCGTCAGCTGCCGCTGCTGCTGCTGACGTAACATTTGTGACTTATCGGTTCTTGGAGGACAGCCACTGGCGCGGTGACCTTACATTTGAATGAAGTTGGCAAGGCCCACGGACCATACTTTTGTAAGAGACGGGTCTCGTTGATGCCACGAAGCCCGCGGTGCCGTAATTCGTCGAATCCGACACGCGAGCGCCAGCCCATCTAGGTTCGCCCCGGGGGAGAGCAGACAGTCCCGAGGGATTATTAACGAGCTCCTGGCCGCTCCTCCCGGGGGCTTTCGAAATCGCCCCGCATCCGTCCCCCGCCGGTTACACATCCTCGGCTACCAATAACAGACGTCTCGAGACGTGTGATTGATGTCGTGGAGAATCGCGACGACGGCCGTGGTGGTGGCTCTGGCAGAGAGGGCCTCTCTGCCACGCGGTCCCGGGGTTAGTGGCGCTCCGGGAGATTTTAAGAGCCGGGTCGGGGTAGGCGCCCCCCCCCCCCGCCCGCTCCCCTGCGCACGACGGTAGCGGGGATCGCTGACAGCGCTGGCGAGTGATAATGGCACCAATGCGGCGCACTTTTTTTATCAATACATTTTTTTTGCGAAAAAAACTCCTTTGGAACTAAATTTCGATTTAAAGCTTTCGTGACTGCAGGGATTCATCTTCTTGGTTCTTTCGGTAAAGTCACGTCGAAGGGAAATAATAAAATAAAAAAATTTAAACATAATAAAATAATACTTTGGAACTAATAAAGCGGCTGGCACGCTGCGTTCCAAAGACGCCAAGTTTCATTCCCGGCCACGGTTAACATCGGTGGCAAAGTCATAACACAACCGGTCCTACCCTCCGCCCGCTCTTCACGAATGCGCACTGAGCAGTGAGGTGAAATATGGTCAAACTCCACCCCCCCCTCCATCCTCCCCTACCCCGTACAACACGGCATGGGGTCGTGGGCTTCGTCCATTGGTGGATTGAGAATGGTTGGAATGTATTTAATAGATAACATGACAGCCTCTTCAGCCGCCTCGATGTCAGCGAAATTCAAAGAGAACCTGATTTCCAAGTTCAGCCTCTTGTCTAAGAAGAAGCCAGAGCCACACATTAAAAAGTTATTGTTATCAATCAGAGTAACAGCCCAATTTCCAACAGCCTAAAATCGGTACTAGCTAAAGGGTTGCCTTTCGCAGTCACCCCCAAACACATCCCAGTTGATAATATCATTACCCAGGTTTCTATCTACGGGAATGCATTTAATACTTTGTAATACGCAAATGTATGCAATTACAATGGACGGTGGGTTGTGTATATCGCCTTGAGATTCATCTCAAGGCACTCTATAGAACAGCGGGCCCATTGCCTGGCTCCGGCTCTGATGCTCCTGCTGTTGTGGAGTGACTCGTGCAGCCAGCTATGGCAGCAGAGTTTGGTAATACATGTTGTTTAAGTCGTTAATTGTGAAAATTCGGTCACAGTTCCTATGATCACTGTTTCATTGCTTTTATGGCTTTATTTTGGTGATTTTTGAAAAGTTTTTCGGTTTGGCCATGCGTGTTTGTTGTAGTACAGAGTTAGACTGATGGCCTTAATCTACGCTGTCTTGTGGTTGTTGTTGTTTGACTTGCATCCCACTGGGATTTTTGCACACAGTGTTGGTGTACGGTGCTTTTTCTGAAATATTTTGCTGTCTTTTCTTGGATTTTCTGTTTGCACATAGTCACTTTAAGATGTTTTTTTGTTCATGTTTTTGTTTTTTTGTTTGTTGCGGTTGCATCCGATTCAAGGCTCACAGGGCAAAACCTAATAAATGAAACTTGAAACTTCGGATGGGGTAGAGTGGTGGTGGGGTGGGGGGACAGTCGAGACGCTGAGTGGGGGGGGGGGGGGCACCGTGACCGCTCTTCACCGCCAAGGAGAGGGAACCTGCTTGGGTCCATGGGACGTTTGGGACGTTCAGCGGAGCAGGAGGCCACCCCAGCAGCCCCCGTGTGGGACATGGTTCCTCCAGGGGACATGGAGGCATATTTATTGAATCAGTACTGTGCTACACGTCACGTGGTTGCCACTTAATTCTGTTTAACTGTCGGCGGTTTTGTTACTTTGAAAGCTCGTTACCGTGCAACGCGATACAACGTGGCTTTCTATGAAACCTTCAATGTAACCGCATGCCCAAGACGCCGTACGAACACCAGGGACATCGCGTATTCCATAGCGAGATAGGGCCGATCGTCGGTCATTGAGGCCGTCGGACTTGAGCAGTGGCAGGGAGCGGACGGCACGGCACGCGGATGTCTGGCGGGGACTTCTCACGTGCGTTCACCTTTGCCTCGCCGGTGCCGACGTGTACACACACACGCACTCGTTTGATGGCCGAGCGACACCTACGCGAGGTCGGAGGTGTTCCCCCCGCCAATAATTGGCCGTGAGCTCCAATCGAACTCGGGGTCGCCGGGGTCTCGTGATGCGGTCCCACGAACCTGGCCGCCCACGCTCTCCGTCAGCACTCGGCCTCTCCCCCCCACCCTGCCCAACAGTCCAGCATAGGGCCGCGCGGCCAAGGATGTCTGCCTGTCTTCGTGTGACAGGTGGGGCGGTATGGGGCGGTGTGGGGGCTTGGGTTGGGTTGGGGGGGGTTCCCAGTGCCCCGAGCTGGTGTAAGTCGCCGCGCCGTTCATCTTTGGTGCCTGGCGCGACGCGGACCCACTAAAGATTTGCGCTGCGGGGTGTCCCCACTGCGTCGTCGTCGCAGCAGCAGCAGCCTCCGAGAAAATATTTGAGCCGACCTTTTTATGTCACCTGCCCACCACCACCCCCCCCCCACGACCCTTGCCTACCTCCCTGTCCGCCGTCGATCTGTTTTAGACCCCGCCGCGGGGGGCTCTCCGGCAACTCGCCCAACGTGTTGGGAGCTGTGCGCGGATACCTGGAGTGCTCGGGATTCCCCGTGAGGCCGGCGGTTTCACCCCCGGCGCTTGGTGCCGCGACGATGTTGCGGAAAAATCTGGAGTTTCTTTTTTAGATTTTTCGTCGAGAGCTGTAATTACGGGGAGTCTCTCTCTCTCTGTGTGCGTGTGTGTGCGCGCAGCTTGTTTTTGGTGACGCACACGTTAGCACCAACGTGACATACACACAAACGCGTGCACTCAAAAACCAACATCTCCCTGCCCCGTGTATCCTATAGCAGGGATTGTTGGCGAGCACCTATGAACACCATCGCAAATTTGGGTTCGCTAACCGCCGCGCTGCCGCTCGCCACGCACATGCGCGCGATCACACGTGTTGATGAAATCACAAAGATTACCACGTGTCGCCTCTAACAGGCGGTCGGGGCAACTGCTATGAAGACCGGCGATGAAGGTGTGTCGCCGGCACCACGCATGCCGGGGCCGCCTTTGTCTCCCCAGTGCTGTTTTATCTATCGCCGTGAGCGGCAATCTAGCTCGGGAACGCCGGGTGAATGGGCGCGGCACGCCAACACCACTGCCACACTATCGCTTCGCACACACACCGACGTCAACAGGCACACACACACACACACGTTGGGCTGTACCCAATGTAGAGATGTTGGCTTGGAAGGATGCAGAACACGCAATGCTCTCTCGGGGACAAATGGTGGGTTTGGCATGCGGTATGTTCACAATGTAGGTACTTTCATGTCTGTTCATGATTTGGGGGGGGGGGGGTGTATCGGGGGTGTGGGAGGTGGAATTTGTGATGCCCGAGGGATATTTTACAGGTCTGACGTCAATACACACAACCCGGTTTTGTTTTGCAACTTTTTGTTTTGAAACTCTCTGAGCTTTAAAAAAAAACTTTACTTTGCAGATATCAAGTGGTGAGCGCGCGTCGTCGTGCGATACCGCCAAACCAGAGAGTTCGATTCCCAGCCACGGCCAACATCAGCAGCGAGAAATTGTATGGGCCATCCTGACCAGCGTGGTGAAGTATGTTAAAAGCAATTGTCTGAGCTATCTTGACCAGCGTGGTGAAGTATGGTCAAAGCAATTGTCTGGGCCATCCTTACCAGCGTGGGGAAGTATGGTCAAAACAATTGTCTGGGCCATCCTTACCAGCGTGAAGTATGTTCAAAGCAATTGTCTCGGCTATCCTGACCAGCGTAGTGAAGTATGTTCAAAGCAATTGTCTCGGCTATCCTGACCAGCGTGGTGAAGTATGGTCAAAGCAATTCTCTGAGCTATCTTGACCAGCGTGGTGAAGTATGGTCAAAGCAATTGTCTGGGCTATCTTGACCAGCGTGGTGAAATGTGTTCAAAGCAATTGTCTGGGCTATCTTGACCAGCGTGGTGAAGTATGGTCAAAGCAATTGTCTGGGCCATCCTGACCAGCGTGGTGAAGTATGGTCAAAGCAATTGTCTGGGCCATCTTGACCAGCGTGGTGAAGTATGTTCAAAGCAATTGTCTGGGCTATCTTGACCAGCGTGGTGAAGTATGT